GAAAGTTCAAAACCTTTGGGATGCAGCAAAGGTGGTCCTAAGAAGGAAGTATGTAGCACTACAGACCTTCCTCAAGAAACAAGAAAAATTCTCAAATGCACAACCTAATCTTACACCTAAAGGACCTGGAAAAAGAACAGCAAATAAAGCCTATATCCAGGAGGAGAAGAGAATTAATAAAGATTAGAGAAGAAATCCATGATATAGAAATTAAAAAAAAAATAGAACAGATCAACAAAACTAGGAGCTGGTTCTTGGAAAGAATTAATAAGACTTAGAAACTCTTAGCCAGACTTAACAAAAAGAAAAGAGAAATGACACAAATAAGTAAAGTCATGAGTGAAAGAGGAGAGATCACAACAAACACCACAGGAATACAATTATAAGATAATATTATGGGCAATTATATGCCAACAAATTAGGCAATTTGGAAGAAATGGATAAATTCCTAAAAACAAACTATCAAAACTGGAACAGGAAGAAATACAAAACCTGAACAGACCCATAACAGCAAGGAAATTAAATTAGTAATCAAAAATTTTCCCCAAAATAAGAGTCCAGGGCCAGATGGCTTCCCAGGTGAATTCTACCAAACATTTATTATTATTATTAATTTTCAGTTAGCCAGCATATAGTACATCATTAGTTTTTGATGTAGTGTTCAAAGATTCATTAGTTGTGTATAACACCCAGTGCTCATCACAACACCTACCCTCCTTAATACCCATCACCCTGTTACACCCCCTCCCTTCCGTAACCCTCAGTTTGTTTCTCAGAGTCCAGAGTCTCTCATGGTTTGTCTCCCTCTCTGATTTCTTCCCATTCAGTTTTCCTTCCCTTCCCCTATGGTCTTCCACGCTATTCCTTATGTTCCACATATGAGTGAAACCATATGATAATTGTCTTTCTCTGCTTGACTTATTTCACTTAGCATAATCCCCTCCAGTTCCATCCATGTCGATGCAAATGGTAGGTATTTATCCTTTCTGATGGCTGAGTAATATTCCATTGTGCATACGAACCATATCTTCTTTATCCAAACATTTAAAGAATTAATACCTATTCCTCTACAACTGTTGCAAAAAAGAGAAACAGAACAAAAACTTCCAAACCCATTCTACTTCCACATAATAAAGGCCATATATGAAAGACCCACAGCTAATGTAACACTCAATGGGGGAAAATTGAGAGCTTTTCCTCTAGGGTCAGGAACAAGACAGGGATGTCCACTCTCACCACTGTTATTTAACATATGCCTGTAAGTCCTAGCCTCAGCAAGCAGACCACAAAAAGAAATAAATGGCATCCAAATCAGCAAGGAAGAAGTCAAATATTCACTCTTTGCAGACAAATTGATACTCTGTTGAAAACCTGAAAGACCCCACCAGAAAATTGCTAGAACCGATATACAGATTCAGTAAAGTTGCAGGATTCACAATCAAAGTACACAAATCAGTTTTATTTCTATACACCAATAATAAAGTAGCAGAAAGAGAAATCAAGGAATTGATCCCTTTACAATTGTGTCAAAAATCATAAGATACCTAGGAATAAACCTTACCAAAGAGGTAAAGGATCTATACTCTGAAAACTATAGATCACTTATGAAAGAAATTAAAGATGACACAAATAAATAGAAAAACATTCTATGCTTATTAAACAAATATTGTTAAAATTTCTGTAGTATCCAAAGCAATCTACACATTTAATACAATCCCTATCAAAATTCCACCAGCATTTTCCACAGAGCTAGAACAAATAATTCTAAAATTTGTATGGAGCCACAAAAGACCCCAAATAGCCAAAACAATCTTTAAAAAGAAAACCAAACCTGGAGGCATCACAATTCTGTTCTTCATGCTATATTACAAAGCTGTAGTGATAAAGACAGTATGGTACTTGCATAAAAACAGACACACAGATCAATGGAATAGAATAGAAAACCCAGAAATGGACCCACAGCTAATATTCCATAAAGCAGGAAAGAAAATCCAATGGAAAAAAAAGACAATCTCTTCAACAAATGGTGTTGGGAAAAGTGGACAGCAACATGCAAAAGAATGAAACTGTACCACTTTCTTACAGCATACACAAAAATAAATTCAAAATAGATGAAAGACCTAAATATGAGACAGGAAACCATCAAAATCCTAGAGATCAGAGGCAGCAACCTCTTTGACCTCAGTTGTAGCAACTTACCAGACACATCTACTGAAACAAGGGGAAAAAAAGCAAAAATGAATTATTGGACTTCATCAAGATAAAAGTTCTGCACAGTGAAGGAAACAATCAACAATACTAAAAGGCAACCTTCAGGGGTGCCTGGGTTGAGCACCTGACTCCTGTTTTTTTCTGCTCAGGTTGTGATCTTGGGGTCATAAGATGGAGCCCCATGGTGGGCTCTGTGTTCAGCACAGAGTCTGCTTATATTCTCACCACCTCTCCCTCTGCCCCTCCACCCTGCACCCATATGTGCTCCTTCTCTCTCTCTCTCTCTCTCAGATAAATAAATAAATCTTTTTTTTTTAAAAGGCTTCAGGATGGGAGAAGATATTTACAAGTGACATATCTGATAAAGTGTTAGTGTCCGAAATGTATAAAGATATTACCAAACTCAATACTGCCAAAACAAATAACCCAGTTAAGAACTGGGCAGAAGACATGAATAAACATTTTTCCAAAGAAGACATACAGCTATACAGCTAACTAACAGACACATGAAAAGATGTATATATATATATATATATATATATATATATATATATATATATATATATATATATATATATATATATTACATATAATATGTTACTACTCAGCTATAAAAAAAAGAATGAGGGGTGCCTGGGTGGCTCAGTCGTTGGGCGTCTGCCTTCAGCTCGGGTCGTGATCCCAGGGTCCTGGGATTGAGCCCCGCATCTGGCTCCCTGCTCCGCGGGAAGCCTGCTTCTCCCTCTCCCACTCCCCCTGCTTGTGTTCCCTCTCTCGCTGTGTGTCTCTCTCTCAAATAAATAAATAAAAAATCTTTATATAAAAAAAAGAATGAAGTCTTGCCATTTGCAACAGGATGAATGGGGTTACAGTATATTATGCTAAGTGAAATAAGTCAGTCAAAGAAAGACAAATACCATATGATTTCACTCATATGTGGAATTTAAGAAACAAAACAGATTAAACAAGGGGGAAAAAGAGAGGCAAACCATAAAACAGACTCTTACTTATAGAGAACACACTGAGGGTTCCTGGAGGGGAGGTGTGCAGGGGAATTTGTTAAATGGGTATTAAGGAGGACACTTGTGATGAGCACTGGGTGTTGTATTAAAGTGATGAATCACTAAATTCTACACCTGAAACTAATATTCTACTATATGTTAACTACCTGGAATTTAAGTAAAAACTTGAAACTACAAAAAACAAAAACAAAAAGATCTAGCGGCAGTTTAGAGAGCATCCCATGCCATCTCTCCCTTGTTTGAGGCTTGAAGACTTTGTGTAGCATCTCTGGTGGAAAACCATCTAGCCTTTATGTACAGACCTCATGTACCATCTCCCAAGGTATCCAAGTCCATCTTAGGAGCTCAGCATATTGGATAGCACTCCCTTAGCTGCCACACTAGGACCCCACAGAATCCATATGCTTCTTCTAAAGACAGAGACAAAGTGCCCCTGAGTCCATAGTGAGTCTCAGGCCCTTCCATTGTATTTTATTATCTGTTCCCTCTATATCTACTCTCTGTGTAGGTGATCTTATCCAAACTCTTGGCTTTAATGATCATGCATATATTGAAATTCCCAGAATTAAAACTCTAGCCAAGTTATTCTTATGAACAGCAGACATCTATATTCAACTGTCTACTTGGCTTTTCCACTCAAAGCCCCAAAGCACCACCATCTCAATATTGCTCAACATGTTATTGCTCTCTAAATCTGTTTCTTTTCTAGAGTTTTGTTCAGTGAATGGATCCACCATCTATCTAGAGACCTGAAAATTATTCTCGAGATTTTTCTCTCCCTTACCCGCATATAATCTATCACCATATCCTGTCAGTGATACCTAACTCCTAAATATCTCTTAAATATGTTGTTACTATTTTGAATAATATTATTTCCAATTGCACTGGCACAACCTTAATCTCTTACTTTAATTAATAGAAGGACCTTCTACTAGTTATTTCTGAATTCATACTCCACATGTTCTCACACTGCAGCCAAAGTGGCCTTCCCAAAACATGAATTTGATCATTTCACACAACCTCGTCTTTTCCTAATAACACTTTAATGCTTTCTTCCTATTACTCTTAGAATGAAGACCAAAATCTTAACAAATTGCTACAGGCTCTGAGTGGTATGGCCTGACCCATTTCTCCAGCTCCATTTTCACCATATTTTCCCTCACTTAGTTAATTACAACCTCATTGTCTTTATTTCAGGTTCTTAAATCGATTGTGTTCTTTCCTGCAACAAGGCCTCTGCACATGCTTTTCCATCTGGAAAAACTCTCTCCCATACATATCTTCCTTACCTTTGCTCTTTTTTGGGATCATAATATGTGCCACTCTCAGGGAAAACTTCCTTGACATCCTTGACTAAAAAAAGTCCTACTTTTCCTCCTGCCAAAAAATTCTGTACATTATTCAGTGTTCGTTAGGATAGGTGTACTCCTTTTTTTAAGACATGTTTTATTTATTTATTTATTTATTTATTTATTTATTTATTTATTTATTTATATTTATTTACTTATTTATTTACTTATTTACTTATTTATTTATTTTTAATTTTTTTTAGTTAATATATAATGTATTATTTATTTCAGGGGTACAGGTCTGTGATTCATCAGTCTTACACAATTTACATTGCTCACCATAGTATATACCCTCCCCAATATCTATCACCCAGCCACCCTATCCCTCCCACCCCCCCTCCCCTCCAGCAATCCTCAGTTTGTTTCCTGAAATTAAGAGTCTCTTATGGTTTGTCTCCCTCTCTGGTTTCGTCTTGTTTCATTTTCCCCTCCCTTCCCCTATGATCCTCTGTCTTGTTTCTCAAATTCCTCATATCAGTGAGGACACTTCTCTTTGTCTGATTGACTTATTTTGCTTAGCATAATACCCTCTAGTTTGATCCATGTCATTGCAAATGGCAAGCTTTCATTTTTTGATGGCTGCATAATATTCCTATATATATATAGGTATATAGGTATATATCACATCTTCTTTATCCATTCATCTGTTGATCGACATCTAGGCTCTTTCCATAGTTGTGCTATTGTGGACATTGCTGTTATAAACATTGGGGTGCATATGCCCCTTCAGATCACAACATTTCTATCTTTGGGGTAAATACCCAGTAGTGCAATTGCTGGGTCATAGGGTAACTCTATTTTCAACTTTTTTTTTTTTAAGATTTTATTTATTTATTTGACAGAGAGAGACACAGCGAGAGAGGGAATACAAGCAGGGGGAATAGGAGAGGGAGAAGCAGGCTTCCCGCGGAGCAGGGAGCCGGATGCAGGGCTCGATCCCAGGACCCTGGGATCATGACCTGAGCTGAAGGCAGACGCTTAACGACTGAGCCACCCAGGCGCCCCTTTTTTTCTAATTTTTTTTTAAAGATTTTATTTATTTATTTGACAGAGAGAGACACAGCGAGAGAGGGAATACAAGCAGGGGGAATGGGAGAGGGAGATATTTTCAACTTTTTGAGGAACCTCCATACTCAGAGTGGCTGCACCAGCTTGCATTCCCAACAACAGTGTAGGAGGGTTCCCCTTTCTCTGCATCTCCGCCAACATCTGTTGTTTCCTGACTCAATTTTAGCCATTCTGACTGGTGTGAGGTGGTATCTCATTGAGGTTTTGATTTGAATTTCCCTGATGCCGAGTGATGTTGAGCACTTTTTCATGTGTCTGTTGGTCATTTGGATGTATTCTTTGCAGAAGTGTCTGTTCATGACTTCTGCCCATTTCTTGATTGTATTGTTTGTTCTTTGGATGTTGAGTTTGATAAGTTCCTTATAGATTTTGGATACTAGCCTTTTCTCTGATATGTCATTTGCAAATATCTTCTCCCATTCTGTCTGTTGTCTTCTGGTTTTGTTGACTGTTTCTTTTGCTGTGCAAAACTTTTTTATCTTGATGAAGTCCCAATAGTTCATTTTTCCCCGTGCTTCCCTTGCCTTTGGCGATGTTTCTAGGAAGAAGTTGCTGCAGCTGAGATCGAAGAGGTTGCTGTCTGTGTTCTCCTCTAGGATTTTGATGGACTCCTGTCTCACATTGAGGTCTTTCAACCATTTGGAGTCTATTTTTGTGTGTGGTGTAAGGAAATGGCCCAGTTTCATTCTTCTGCATGTGGCTGTCCAATTTTCCCAACACCATTTGTTGAAGAGACTGTCTTTTTTCCATTGGACATTCTTTCCTGCTTTGTCGAAGATTAGTTGACCATAGAGTTGAAGGTCCATCTCTGGGCTCTCTATTCTGTTCCATTGATCTAGGTGTCTGTTTTTGTGCCAGCACCATACTGTCTTGATGATTACAGCTTTGTAATAGAGCTTGAAGTCCAGAATTGTGATGCCACCAGGTTTCCTTTTCTTTTTCAACCTTCCTCTGGCTATGTGGGGTTTTTTCTGGTTCCATAAAAATTTTAGGATTATTTGTTCCATTTCTTTGAAAAAAGTTGATGGTATTTTAATAGGGGTTGCATTAAATATGTAGATTGCTCTAGGTAGCCTAGACATTTTCACAATATTTGTTCTTCCAGTGCAGGAGCATGGGATGTTTTTCCATTTCTTTGTGCCCTCCTCAATTTCTTTCATGAGTATTCTATAGTTTTCTGAGTACAGATTCTTTGCCTCTTTGGTTAGATTTATTCCTAGGTATCTTACGGTTTTGCGTGCAATTGTCAATGGGATCAACTCCTTAATTTCTTTTCTTCTGTCACATTGTTAGTGTATAGAAATGCAACTGATTACTGTGCATTAATGTTATATAATACCACTTTACTGAGTTCCTGTATGGGTTCTAGCAGTTTTGGAGTGGAGTCTTTTGGGTTTTCCACATAAAGTATCGTATCATCTGGATAAGGTGAGAGTTTCACTTCTTCTTTGCCAATTCAGATGTCTTTTATTTCTTTCTGTTGTCTGACTGCTGTGGCTAGGACTTCTACTACTATGTTGAATAGCAGTGATGATAGTGGACATCCCTGCTGTGTTCCCAACCTTAGGGAAAAAGCTCTGTTTTTCCCCTTTGAGAATGATATTTGCTGTGGGTTTTTCATAGATGGCTTTTATGATATTGAGGTATTTGCCCTCTATCCCTACACTGTGAAGAGTTTTAATCAAGAAAGGATGCTGTATTTTGTCAAATGCTTTTTCTGCATCTATTGAGAGGATCATATGGTTCTTGTTCTTTCTTTTATTAACATATTGTATCACAGTATTTGATTTGTGCATGTTGAACTGAACTTGCAGCCCAGGAATAAATCCCACTTCTTCGTGGTGAATAATCCTTTTAATGTACTGCTGGATTCTATTGGCTAGTATTTTGGTGAGAATTTTTGCACTCATGTTCATCACGGATATTGGTCTGTAATTCTCCTTTTTGCTGGGGTCTTTGTGTGGTTTTGGTATCAAGGTAATGCTGGCCTCATAAAATGAGTTTGTACGTTTTCCTTCCATTTCTATTTTTTGGAACAGTTTCAGAAGAATAGGTATTCATTCTTCTTTAAATGTTTGGTAGAATTCCCTTGGGAAGCCATCTGGCTCTGGGCTTTTGTTTGTTGGGAGATTTTTGATGACTGCTTCAATTTCCTTAGTGGTTATGGGTCTGTTCAGGTTTTCTATTTCTTCCTGGTTCAGTTTTGGTAGTTGATACATCTCTAGGAATGCATCCATTTCTTCCAGGTTATCTAATTTGCTGGCATAGAGTTGCTCATAATACGTTCTTTTTTTTTTTAAGATTTTATTTATTTATTTGACAGAGAGAGAGACAGCGAGAGAGGGAACACAAGCAGGGGGAGTGGGAGAGGGAGAAGCAGGCCTCCCGCCGAGCAGGGAGCCCGATGTGGGGCTCGATCCCAGGACCCTGAGATCATGACCTGAGCCGAAGGCAGTTGCCCAACCAACTGAGCCACCCAGGCAGCCCGCTCATAATACGTTCTTATAATTGTTTGTATTTCTTTGGTGTTGGTTGTGATCTCTCCTCTTTCATTCATGATTTTATTTATTTTGGTCCTTTCTCTTTTCTTTTTGATAAGTCTGGCCAGGGGTTTATCAATCTTGTTAATTCTTTCAAAGAACCAGCTCCTAGTTTTGTTTAACTGTTCTATTGTTCTTTTCATTTATATTTCATTGATTTCTGCTCTGATCTTACCATTTCTCTTCTCCTGCTGGGTTTAGGCTTTATTTGCTGTTCTTTCTCCAGCTCCTTTAGGTGTAGAGTTAGGTTCTGTATTTGAAATTTTTCTTGTTTCTTGAGAAAAGCTTGTATTGCTATATACTTTCCTCTTAGGACGCCTTTGCTGCATCCCAAAGATTTGGAACACTTGCCTTTTCATTTTCATTTGTTTCCATGATTTTTTAAAATTCTTCTTTAATTTCCTGGTTGACCCATTCATTCTTTAGTAGGATGCTCTTTAGCCTCCATGTATTTGAGTTCTTTCCAACTTTCCCCTTGTGATTGAGTTCTAGTTTCAAAACATTGTGGTCTGAAAATATGCAGGGAATAATCCCAATCTTTTGGTACCAGTTGAGACCTGATTTGTGACCCAGGATGAGATCTATTCCAGAGAATGTTCCATGTGCACTAAAGAAGAATGGGATGGAATATTCTGAATATATCTGTGAAGTCCATCTGGTCCAGTGTGTCATTTAATGCCTTTATTCCCTTGTTGATCTTTTGCTTAGATGATCTGTCCATTTCAGTGAGGGGGTTGTCAAAGTCCACTACTATTATTGTATTATTTGTCGATGCGTTTCTTTGATTTTGTTATTAATGGGCTTATATAATTGGCTGCTCCCATGTTAGGGGAATAGATATTTAAAATTGTTAGATCTTCTTGTTGGATAGACCCTTTAAGTATGATACAGTGTCCTTACTCATCTCTTAGTATAGTCTTTGTTTTAAAATCTAATTTGTCTGATAATAAGGATTGCTACCCCAGCTTTCTTTTGATGTCCATTAACATGATAAAGGGTTTCCACCCCCTCACTTTCAATCTGGAGGTGTCTTTGGGTGTAAAATGAGTCTCTTGCAGACAACATATTGATGGGTCTTGTTTTTTTTATCCAACCTGATGCCCTGTGTATTTTGATTAGGGCATTTATCCCATTTACATTCAAGGTAACTATTGAAAGATATGAATTTAGTGCCATTGTATTGCCTGTAAGGTGACTGTTACTGTATATTAATTCTGTTCCTTTCTGGTCTATGTTACTTTTAGGCTCTTTCTTTGCTTAGAGGACCCCTTTCAATATTTCTTGTAGGACTGGTTTGGTGTTTGCAAATTCTTTTAGTTTTTGTTTGTCTTGGAAGTTTTTTATCTCTCCTATTTTCAATGATAGCCTAGCTGGATATTCTTGGCTGCATATTTTTCTCATTTAGTGCTCTGAATATATCATGCCAGTCCTTTCTGGCCTGCCAGGTCTGTTGCCAATCTAATGTTTCTACCATTGTAGGTTACAGACCTCTTGTCCCGAGCTGCTTTCAGGATTTTCTCTTTGTCTCTGAGACTTGTAAGTTTTAGTATTAGATGTCAGGGTGTTGACTTATTTTTATTGATATTGAGGGGAGTTCTCTGTGTCTCCTGGATTTTAATGGCTGTTTCCTTCCCCAAATTAGAGAAGTTCTCTGCTATAGTTTGCTACAATATACCTTCTGTCCCTCTCTCTCTTTCTTCTTCTGGGATCCCAATTATTCTAATGCTATTTTGCTTTATGGTATCACTTAACTCTCACATTCTCCTCTTGTGATCCAGTAGCTGTTTATCTCTCTTTTTCTCAGCTTCTTTATTCTCCATCATTTGGTTTTCTATATCACTAATTCTCTCTTCTGCCTCATTTAACCTAGCAGTTAGAGCCTCCATTTTTTGTTTGCACCTCATAAATAGTCTTTTTGATTTCAACTTGGTTAGATTTTAGTTCTTTTATTTCTCCAGAAAGGGATTCTCTAGTATCTTCTATGCATTTTTCAAGTCTAGCTAGTATCTTTATAATCATCATTCTGAACTCTAGTTCTGACATCTTACTAATGTCTGTAGTGATTAGGTCCCTGGCAGTTAGTACTGCCTCTTGTTCTTTTTTTTTGAGGTGATTTTGTCCATCTTGTCATTTTGTCCAGAGGAAAATAGATGAATGAGAGAACAAAATGCTAAAAGGTTAACCATGACCCCAGAAAAGTATACACTAAACAAATCAGAAGAGATCCAAAATGGGGTGAGGGGGAAGAAGGAAAAAGAAAAAAAAAGACTATGATCAGGTTGGTGAATAGAACCCCCAGGCATCCCAAGAATGTATTTTTCAAATTAAAAAAAAAAAAAAAAGAACAGATTTTGCCAGCCTGCATTCCTCCCAGGAAGTCCTTGGGGACTAATTCAGCACAATGGAATGTTTTATGTTTACTTTCTATTTCAATTGAATATAGTTTGATAAACATTGAACATTTTTCTCATACAGGGCATGTGCCAAGAATAGAGGGATTACAGAGAAGCAGCAGTATAAAAATGAGCAACACCCAGGCCCTGCCCTCCAAGAACTAAGACTCTATTGTAGAACCAGCATGAAAAAAATTAGCCAACGTAAGTGATAAATGGACATACATTTGCTGCTGGCTGAGCTCACACTGAGTCCAGTGTGGGTGGGCATGGCTACTGAAGGGAGGTGGTAAAAGGTTCATTATGCACCACAGAAGAGGAGCCTCCATGTACCAGTTTAACTAATGGTGTAGAATGGCTTTATTATGACTATTAAAATGGCCCAAGCAGTAAATCACATAGGTAATTAATTCTGCTTGGGACACCTGGGTGGCTCAGTCATTAAGCATCTGCCTTTGGCTCAGGTCATGATCCCAGAGTCCTGGGATTGAGTCCCATATTGGGCTGCCTGCTCTGCAGGAAACCTGCTTCTCCCTCCCTCACTTCCCCTGCTTGTGTACCGTCTCTCACTGTATCTCTCTCTGTCAAATAAATAAATAAAATCTTTTAAAAAATTCTGCTTAATTTACACTATCCTTTCTAGGCCAGGGACTAACTCCTAACTTTCAAATATGCATGTGGGGGATGGGTAGGAACTAAGTAACAATGGAAAGACCCTTTTTGCCCTTGAGATTTTAAATATTTTGCATTTAACAAGTGCTCTTTCTGGCACTTTTACTTTAAATTCAGAATTTTCTCTATGCATTTTTGGTTCTTAATGATTCTGTAATGTTTTTTCCTAATTTTAATGAAATCATTCTAACTATTCTAACTAAAACAAGTATTTTTTATACTCATATGGACCACTTTCAGACAGTGGGTCTCAAACATTGCAATGGGTTCTCAAACTTTGCTGCATGCTAGAATTACTTGAAGAGCTTTTCAAAAATCCTCAATACCCAGAGGCCAATTATATAAAACCCGTTGGAGTTTGGACTCAGACATCAATAGTAGCCAAAGCTTGCCAGCTGATTCTTATTTGTGGCTGTTTAAAAAAACAGTGGGACAACAACTATTTGCAAGGCTAATTGCCTTCCCATTTATTCCAATTAGAACAAGCATTTAAAAACCACAAATGCCACATTTAAACTTGGGAGCTATTGAAGTGCTTCTCAAAATTTATGTGCATATCAGTAACCTGGGAATCTTTTTAAAATGCAGATTCTGATTCAGCAACTCTGTAGTGGGACCTGAGGTTTTGCTTTTACAATGAAGCCCCAGGTAATGTGGGTCCTTCTAGTCTAGGAACCAAACTTTGAGTTGCAAATGTCTAGTGCAAGGCGAGTTCCCTGAGGTAAAATGGGAGTGGAAAGAAGAAATTAATCACTGTCTTTGTCTGCTAGTAATCTTTCTTTTACTGTCCTTCATTTGGATCCCAGGTGCGAAGAGTTGAGTTCAGTCCAAGGCAGAGCCATCTCCATTATCAGTATCTCCCAATGGTTACTTAGAAAATAATTTCTGAAAAAAAAAAAAGAATTTCTGAATTAAAAAAGTTGAAATGCTCATGGCAGAGAGCTGAGCATCTGAGAAAGAGAGTACAAAAATCAGACAGATGCTGAGCAATGGTCTGAATGCACAACAATAATAATGCCGGATCATTAAAAATTGTGTTTTTTTTTTCTATATAGAAACATACATGAGCCTCACAGCCATCCTATGAGGCAAGGAAGACATAAATTATTATGCCTACTTTACTGCTAAGGAAACTGAGACAGAATGCTCAGTGACTTGTCCGAGCTTATATGGGGAGCTAGGAGAAGACTTGGTACCAAAATCCTTGGCCTCCTGGCAGCATAGACTGTTATTTCCACTAAACAAAGAGATGATTAACAATGTGAGATAGGGAGGGAAACTGTTCCCAATATAAGTTTGGTAAACATTGCCTATTTAAATTACAAAAACATACAAATTTTAGGATTGTTTGTTGTAGTTCTGTGAAAAATGATGTTGATATTTTGATAGGGATTGCATTAAGTATGTAGATTGCTTTGGGTACTATGGACATTTTAACAATATTTGTTCTTCCAATCCATGAGCATGGAATGTCTTTCTATTTGTGTCCTCTTCAATTCCTTTCATCAGTGTTTTATAATTTTCAGAGTACAGGTCTTTCACCTCCTTGCTTAAGTTTATTCCTGGGTATTTTATTATTTTGGTGCAATTGTAAATGGGATTGTTTTCTTAATTTCTCTTTCTGCTGCTTCATTATTAGTATATAGAAATGCAATGGATTTCTGTACATTGATTTGGAGCCTGTGACCTTATTGAATTCATTTATCAGTATTATTCAGCTATAAAAAGGAGTGAAATCTTGCCTTTTGCAACAACATGGATGGAGGTAGAGAGTATAATGCTAAATGAAATAAGTCAGCCAGAGAAAGAGAAATACCACATGATTTCACTCTTATGTGGAATTTAAGAAACAAAACAAATGAACAAAGGAAAAATAAGAGACAAACCAAAAAACAGAGTCTTAAATAGAGAACAAACATATGGTTGCCAGAGAGGAGGTGGGTGGGGGGATGGGTGAAATAGTAAGAGGGATTAAGAGTACATTTATCATTTTTTTAAGTTATTTATTTATTTATTTGAGAGAGGGGAGAGGGACAGAGGGAAAGAATTTTCAAGCAGACTCCCCACTAAACACAGAGCCCTATGCAGGACTCAATCTCATGACACTGAGATCTTGACCCAAGCCAAAACCAAGAGTCTGATGCTTAAACAATGAGCCACCCAGGTGCCACAAGAGTACACTTATCTTGATGAGCACTGAATAATATATGGAATTGTTGAATCACTATATTGTACACCTGAAACTAATATAACACTGTATGTTAACTACACTGGGATTACAATAAAATAATAAAAAATAAAATAAAATACAGAAATAAAAATTAATAACTTGCTTAAATATCCATTTACCAGCTAAGGGAAGATGATGGGTAGATGGCTGTTTGGTGATCTCTCGAGCAAAGAATATGAATTATGTTTCTAAAGTTATTTGAAATCTTATGCTTCTGAGAGACTGCCAAGCACACTGCCCTCTCTGGACAGCACTCAGGTTGCTGCCTGAATCCATAACTACGTCTTATTTTCATCTAACCTCTCTCACCTGTCTTGATGACCCATGTCCTACCTGCAGCAATAAGGACCACCAAGATCAATATGGGTTGAATGCCCTAACATACACAAAAAGCCCACTTAACCAGTGCAGAAATACCTGGCTATGCTTTTTGCCTTACTGATCCCTTCAAGCTCCCAGCCCCACATGCCTTTTAATTGGCTGGGTTTAGGGGGAAAATGTTGCAACATTACATGCTGCTGGGGGGGGAGGAATATAGCAGGCTATAGTGAAAAAGAATATGAGGCTATAAGGCAAAATAAAACAAACAAAACAAAAATTTCCCATGTTTTGGTAAATCCTGATGGTGCAAACAAGTGCATATCGCTTTCATATTTTTGAGTCTCACTTGCCTTGTCCGTGAAATGGGGATAACTTTATATGCCTGAAAAAGTCTCACTTGCCTTGTCCATGAAATGGGGATAACTTTATATGCCTGAAAAAGTTGCTCTTAACATCATATAAAGTAATGATTAAGAAAGTATACTTGGAGGATTCTAAGATGCTCTACAGTGGTAAGGGCCTGCTATTATGATTATTTTTACCATTTGATAATGAGAAGAATTACATAAAGCCACTTTTCTCTTTGTTTATCACATTCTGTCCCTATGCTGGAAGACTGTCTCTGTGTTTCTTGAACACTTCAAACTTGTTCCTATCTCAGGACCTTTACACTTGCTCTTCTTTCTGCCTAGTATGACTCTCTGCACCTTCGATTTTTACTTGATTGTTTCCTTCTCATCAATTAGGTTTCAACTCAAAGATCACATTCCCAGACAGGCTTAGTTCATCCAATCTAAAGAGTTATAATAACCCTAGTCTCTCTCCTTATCACTTCAATCAATTGTATTTTCTTCATAGCACTTGTCATGATGAAATATTATTTTGTTTATCTGCTTTCTTATTTATTGTCAGTTATCCCCCACTGGAATGTAAGTACCACAAAGATAGGGACTTTGTCTATCTTGTTCATTGCTCTGTCAGTATTACACAAATAGTGCCTGGCATATAGTGGATACATGTATAATGGAAGTTTGGCAAGTTATGTAGCCTTCACATTCAAGACAAAAGGGAGATAATGTGTTTGAAATTTTCCCAGACCTCATCCTAATTTTCCAATATTTCTGCCCTTCTATGCATCCTTCCAAAAGTGGATCCTATGCAGGGACTTTGTTTGCAGAGACAAATCAGAGAAAAGACTGGGATGCTACTTCCAGTTGCTATTACCATTGTTTCAGTTACTATTATAAGTATTTTTATTAGACACAAGATGCCTCAAAGAAACCCCTTTTCATATCAGGTACACTTTTCATATCAGGTACACTTTTAGGGGTTAATGATAGAGATGATTTCCTACATATTTGATTATTTTTATACCCTGTCTGCAGTTTGAAATATAAAAGTGAAAAATAGCTTAATTGTATACAATGATAGTGATGAATATCACAAGATATTTGAGTTAGAAGGGCCCTTAGAAGATTGAATCCAATCCCCTCGTTGTATAGATAAGAAAGAGCCCCAGAAAGGAGAAATGCTCACCCAAGATTATACTGCAAGTTAGGGAGAAAATAGGATTCAGAAGTTACTGTTCCAACTCCCAGCTGTGAAAAAACACAATTTGGGAGCTTCAGTTATTTCTACCAAAGAAATGAGTGGATTGATCAGATATCTCTCAGGAACTTTCTGGCTTAAATATTCCAAAATTATATGGCTATGAACAAGCATTCATTTAGCCATTTATTCATTCAAATTGCATTTATTGAAGCACTATACTGTGCCAAAGAAGATTATATAATGCCCACCAGCAAATCCTTCTCCATTTTCAGGGAGGGAGAAATAAGGTATGGAAATGAGACAGAGTCCATAGTTATGGGATGGCATACTTGAGAACCTGAAGGCAGAGAAAAGAGCCCTGGATTAGGCAGCAGTCATAAGATAGGAGTTCTAGTGCTGACTCAATCATCTCGTCTATTGCCCTTCCCTCTCTTGTTCTTAGTGTCTGCATCTGTGAGAAGGTGAGCTTAAATTTTTCTGTGTTTGTTCATGTGATTTAAATCCTGTAGGAGCACAAACATAATTATGAGTCAATGAACACTATCATGTCAAATAACTGATAGATCATTTGCTGAATTCCAGTTTAGTGGAACTGGGGAACTGGGAAAAAAGAGAACAGGATAAGGAAGCAACAGAAGACTAAGTTCACTAGATCTGATCAGAAGTCTTCCTGAGCCTTGGTTCCATTACATTAATATTGAGAGGGCTGGATTAGCTGGTCTCTGAACACTTCTTTCCATACCTACTGTATCAACTTTCTCAGCATTCTATTATTGCTATGACTATGACCACAACTATTTGTGAAAGTATACAGGATTAACCTGCAGGAAGAGGCAAGAGACTTAGGTGGGAATCAGATTTTTATCTTCAAAAGCTAAAAGATTGTCATGTGGAAGAGAGATTGGCTTAATTGTAGTAGACTCTAGGAAAGAATTGTGACCATCGGTGGGAGAGAGACAAATTTCAGCTCTTTAGAAGACTGTATTTGATAACATAAAGAGATGTTCTAAGTCTTAAAAGAGAATGGGATGGCTTTACAGTTAAAGAGCTCCCCATTACTGAAAGTATACAAGAAAGGATTAGAGAAAATCCCCAGGAACAATGATGAAACAAGTAATAAAATGGCAATAAATGCATATCTATTAATAATCATTTTGGGGGCACCTGAGTGGCTCAATTGTTGGGTGTCTGCCTTCAGCTCAGGTCATGGTCCCGGAGTTCTGGGATTGAGCCCCACATCGGGCTCCCTGCTCCGCTGGAAGCCTGCTTCTCCCCCTGCTTGTGTTCCCTCTCTCGCTATGTCTCTCTCTGTCAAATGAATAAATAAAATCTTTTTAAAAAAATAATCATTTTGAATGTAAATGGACTAAATACTCCAATTAAAAGACATAGGGTGCCAGAATGGATTAAAACAAAAAACTCATCTATATGCTACCTACAAGAGACTTATTTTAGACCTAAAGACTCCTGAAATTGAAAGTGAGGGGGTAGAGAAATATTTTCATGCAAATCGATGTCAAAAAAAAAAAAAAGCTGGAGTAACAATACCTATATTGAAAAAACTAGACTTAAAAACAAAGACTGTAACAAGAGACAAAGAAGGACATTATACTGGGCTCCTGGGTGGCTCAGTCAGTTAAGTGTCCAACTCTTGATTTTGGTTCAGGTTATGATCTCAGGGTCGTGAAATTGAGCCCCACATCAGGCTCTGCATTAGGTGTGGAGCCTGCTCAAATTCTCTCTCTCCCTCTGCCCCTTCCCACTCTCTCTTAAAAAAAAAAAA